GTTGTTCATACACGAGTTCTTTATTTAAACAGAGCAGCTCTTTCCTGTTTTATTTCCAATCATCTTATGAAGCTACTCCTCAAATTGGTTGTTTCCTAGGAAATTTATTATTGAGCCATAACCGGAGGAATCCTAAAAGAGAAAGTCATTTGAAGTCGGTAATAAATTATTCTTTTCAAATTATGAAATGAACCCCAAAAATATGAATGTTATCGGAAAATCGCAAATTATATTAGATCGATATTTATCTGATAGCTAGTCTTCTCAGTTTTTAAACGATTATCTATTGTGATGGTCGGTGTGGCCGTCGGTATTCGATATATTCTTCAAATTTGTATACTGATCAACTTGACAACCGTTTCAATATAACACCCAACGGAGTATAAATCAAAAGACGAATACGAAGAGTTGAATGCGTTTACTGTTATACCGCACGCAGACCACCAAAACCACAGACACACGAAGCGAACCCGACAATAACAAAAGCCTATGGTACATATAACTAATTACTATACAAATGACTCAGATAAATAAGTCACTTAAGTTAGTTAAGGTTTAACCAAATTAAATATGAACAAACACGAATGTATGTTAGGTACTACACCTCGTTTTTGAAGTGAACTTTGACCATGCGTTCAAAATGCTAAGTTTTACAAAAGGTTTACCATTGCTGCTTAAATTATAATGTACATTTTTAAAACTTTCGACTTGACAGGACTTTATACTTATCAACTTCCTTCATTTTTTTATCCCGATAGTGATTTTAAAATCAGTGCAAACATATCCACCTATCATTTGAGTGAGGAATTACAGTTGTAGAGGTGTGAATGAGTAAAGTTGATTGATGTCAACTGTTCATATTGGATTATGGTGCCAGCCTTTAATAAGTTGATTTATTCGATTTCTAAACTTAGACATGTGCGAATATAATTTTATATGTAATGTTTTTAACTCCGCCAGTAGAACCTTAGGGGCTACTGCCGGTCCCATGCCCGGATAAAGGAGGAGGTTTGGACATGCGGTTGGCGACCCCATTTCGTCGAAATCTAACTTGCCAAAAAAAACGCTAACCAGAAAAAATAATCCAAACCATTTTAATTCTGCCCTGGGAGTTGGAAGAAGAATTATGACGTCACGTGATGAAAGCCGAGTTCCCTCGGAAGTCACGGGGTCGATGCCTCTACTGACAACCAGAGCAACCATTTTTTTAGGTACATGGAACGTTCAAACATTGTGGGGAACTGCTGTTATACTCTGGTCATGAAGAGGAAAATGATTCACGTACACAAGGAGTTGCACTGATGCTGTCGAAACATGCACAAAAGGCAGTGATAGGATGGGAATCTCATGGACCGAGGATCATTAAAGCATCCTTCAAAACAAAGAAACAGGACATTACAATGAACGTCATCCAATGTTATGCACCTACCAATGACTACAATGACGACGTTAAAGATCAATTCTATCAAAGGCTGCAGTCAATCGTCGATAAATGTTCACCAAAGGATTTGACGATTCTTATGGGAGACCTGAATGCCAAGGTTGGAATGGACAACACTGGATATGAAGACATCATGGGACGACATGGACTGGGAGAAAGGAACGAAAACGGTGAGAGATTTGCAAACCTATGTGCCTTCAACAAACTGGTCATCGGTGGCACAATATTCCCACACAAACGCATTCACAAAGCCACATGGATTTCACCGGACCACACTACTCAAAACCAAATTGACCATATCTGTATCAACAAAAAGTTCAGAAGGACGATGGAGGATGTGAGAACCAAGAGAGGAGCTGATATAGGTTCAGATCACCACTTGCTGATCGCCAAAATGGAACTGAAACTCAAGAAGCACTGGACAATGGGGCAGAAAACATCACAGTAGTTTAATACGGCCTTCCTTCGGGATACCGTAAAACTCAACGAATTCAGGATAGCCCTCACCAATAGGTTCCAGGCCTTTCAGGATCTACTCAACGGAGAGGAAGCAACATCAGAGAACCATTGTAAAGGGATTAAGGAAGCAATCACTTCAACATGTCAGGAGGTTCTAGGTCACAGGAAACACCACAACAAGGAATGGATCTCTGTTGATACTCTTGCAAAAATTGAAGAAATGAGGAACAAGAAGGCAGCAGTGAATGTCACACGAACAAGAGCAGAGAAAGTTGCCGCATAAGCTGAATACACAGAAGCAAAGAGGGAAGTGAAGAAGAGCATCAGAGCTGACAAACGAAAATATGTGGAAGATCTAGCAATGACGGCGGAAAAGGCTGCAAAAGACGGACACTTGAGACAATTGTACGAAACAACAAAGAAGCTGGCCGGAAACTAGCGTAAACCAGAACGATCAGTGATAAGCAAGGAAGGCAAAGTAATCAGCAACACTGAAGAACAGCGAAATAGGTGGGTAGAGCACTTTCAGAAACTACTGAATCGACCAGCTCCACTGAACACACCCAACATCGAAACAGCATCCACGGATCTCCCAATTAATTTTGACGCACCTACGATTGAGGAGATCAGTATGGCCATCAGACAAATCAAGTGCGGCAAAGCAGCAGGACCAGACAACATTCCAGCAGAGGCAATGAAAGCAGATGTGGAAGCAACTGCGAAAATATTTTACATCCTCTTGAAGAAGATTTGGGATGAGGAACAAGAACATCAGATTGGAAAGAAGGATACCTGATCAAAATACCAAAGAAAGGCGATCTCAGCAAGTGTGAGAACTACAGAGGCATCACTCTTCTTTCAATACCAGGCAAAGTCTTCAACAGAGTATTGTTAAACAGAATGAAGGACTTCTTAGACGCCCAACTTCGAGATCAACAGGCCGGATTTCGTAAGGATCGATCGTTTACTGACCGTATTGCTACATTACGGATCATTGTAGAACAATCAATCAACTGCAAAATCGTGCACGGAGGTCAGCTGACAGACTCTTTCGAG